TCCTGCTGGTCTTTCTCATCTCCAAGTCCAGCTGCATTTTTCCCTAATGAAATTTTCTGCCACAGCAAAGGTGGAATGTGAAAGTTCAATTTTATGGATCAACTTTGCTTACAAGAAGAGAGGAAACTGGGCAGGACCTGTACACTGGAAAAGAGATTAATGAGAGCCATATCATTATGGAGATTATGGAGAACCTGAGTAAGGCATGATAAACATGATGCTCTAGATGAAAAATCACTTGCAGGAAAATCAGTGCTTGCAAGGTGGATGAAGTGAAGGACTTGTGATATCTGCTGTTCCTTCCATCTTTTCTTTAGGGAGCCCCCCGTTTGCTCTGGGGTGTCCACTTGTATTTGTGCTTTTTCTGTCCCTTTGGGTTAGGAAAGAGAGAAGATCAGCAGGACCTTTGCTGGACCTCACTGTGCCTTTGCTTTCCCTGGCCTTTTGCTGCCACCTCCTTCTCCAGGAGGGCCCGAGCAAAGCTGAGTTGCGTACATCTCCAGCATAGCAGCGGCTCCGCTGTCATTAGAGGATAAATGACCCTGTCTCCACGGCCAGGGAAGAAACCAAATTAAACCCCACCATCCTCAGCAATTGATGGGCCAGCTGCCGAGCTCTGTGTCACAGCCGATTTCTCATGAACAATCAGGGGCAAATTGTATCTCTAATTTCTGTCACAAATGTTTTTGCTATGCAAAGGGACAAATAGGAGCAGGGAGAAGAGGAGAGAGCACTTGGCCTGGCCTTCAGCCTGATGGTGAGGGAAGGCTGCGATGACGCTAATGCACTCCTAGCAAGGTGGTGGCTTTAAGCATTAAGCAGCAAGAAATGGCCAGAGAATCTGCTTTCTCTGGCTATAATAATGCCCCGCCATGCTAAAATAAGGCAAACTGTGAAGGAGGGTGAGGAGAGACGTGAATTGCCGTTGAGGAACCCGGCAGGTGACCTCACAGAATCACAGAATGGCAAGGGTTGGAAGGGACCTTGGGAGATCATCCAGTCCAATCCCCCTGCTAAAGCAGGGTCACCTAGAGCAGGTTGCACAGGACATCATCCAGGTGGGTTTTGAATATCTCCAGAGAAGGAGACTCCACAACCCTCCTGAGATGATGGAGAGCTGCACCAAGTGAGGGGCTGGCGGCCGCAAGGCTCTGTAAGTGTGAGGTTGTTTAATTGGGCTTGCCAGAGCGGGGCTGGGGATGCTGGGGCAGTCGGGGTGGCCGCTGCCAGTGCTGCTGAGCTGGGGCGTTCAGACCGTAGCAATAAGCAGGTAATGACTTTTGGCACTGAGCTGACTACGATAAATTCGTGGCATATTGACCGCGTTGGAAGTCTAGATCGATATCAGTCTTCAAGAGGCTCAATAGCTCTATGTTTCTTTGATGCAGATAAAGAAAATAGAGGGTAGGTGTTTATGGCATTCCCTGCTTGCAGTATTATTATTCTTTGCTGATCCTTCTGCCAAGGTAAGGGAGGGGAGCGAGAAGGAAGGTAAGAAAGGATTTAGAAAGATAATTCACAAGACATTTAAAAAGCAGTTGTAAGAATGAGATTTATGGCAATTTTTTCATCAGTTTTAGGCTGAAAAGAGGAAGAGAAAGATCTTCATAAAAATGTATTGTCCGTTAAAAGACAAATTCCTATCAAATAGTGGTCTTGGGTTTAATGAGGCGCCCGTGGCAGGGGGGTTGCTGGCACATGGCTGTGCTTGCTTGGGCTTTGGCTTTGGCAGAGAGGGACGCGGGGGTGTTCCACAGGCCCCTGCGGCTTTCTGGTGCTAGAGATATCCACGCCTGGCTCTAAATGCCTTAAGGGACCTGGTGGGGAGATGGTTAAACCAGGGCACATAGAAATGCTGGAGGGGAGGGCACAGGGAGAAAAGCCATTTATTTCTCCTCTTAAATGAATAAATTGGTCCCATTGGGGGCTGCGGGTGACTGAGGCTTCAGCTTCACCAGCAGGCCAGTCCTGGTGTTTCTGGCTCTGCTGGGGCGAGCACGACTCTGCCCATTTATCCCCCTGAACAAATAATCCAAAGTTAAGAAACCCGATGTTCTTATAGTTTTGGGGGTTTGTTAGGGTTTTTTTTTTAATCCATTTATGTATTTTTTTTTTTTTTTTTAAATTACAAGGGTCATCAATCACCAGGAGTGACTTGTTGATATTGGCCAACTTTTAAGGGAAGGCTGTTGCAGGGTTTTCCTCTGCTCCCTGTCCCCATAACCCTCCCTGCTGCGGTAGGAGGGTGATGGCACTGCTGGGAAACCACCAGGCCTTGCTGGGGCAGCATTTCGGTTCCTGGAAGCCAAGACTTTGCAGCTGCAGTGTTCGTGGTGCCTGGGAACTGGTAGGAAGGGACCAAGCCGAGGTCCTGCAGTGGCCTCCGAGGAAGCAGCTTGGCATGTTATGTCTCCATGGTGCTTTTCTCCAGAGTGTTCAGGTTTTTGTCAGCACTGAGGTCATCCACCCCCGGTCTTGGATGATTGTATGGCTTGGAGGAGACTTGGTTAGAGACTTCATGGTTGGGTTTGCTTCCAATCAAAATCCTGAAGTTGTGAAGGTCAAGGTAAAACAAGCCACCCTCAAGTCATCAGGGTGCATTAGGGAACTTGGACTGCAGGGCTGTCCTTGTCCCTGTGTCCCAGCTCATCTCCACCAGGTGAAGGAAGCCTCTAACAAGCTGTTTGCAACCTTAATGCATTGTCATCCCAAAGTTCGCCCACCCTGGCCACGCCTGGACTGGAAAGCATCAGGAGGTCCTGGCGGGTTGATTAGCATCACAGCAGTTTGATGGCATTGCAGCAGGTTGGCTGAAGGGACCAGGAGAGCGGGCACAGCCTGCTTGTGCCAGCACGGGGACATGGGGGGACTTGCGAAGGGCGCTTGGCCACAGAGGTGTTCCCCATGCCAGCAGGGAGGAGGAAAGGTCCCTTCCTCTCATCCCTCATGGGAAGCTGTGACCTTACCGTGGCTCCCACAGGGGACAGCAGTAAGTTCAAAGCACAAAAGTATGGTCAGAGACAAAGTTGAGCAAAACCTAGCTGCTCTGCTGGAGGTCAGCGAGGTTCCTCCATCAGACCTGGGACCCTCCCCAAGACCCTGTGGGCTCCCACAGGAAGTGGGGTCCCGATGGAGGTGGCACTGCCTGGCTCCCATGGCAGACAGTTTTGGTTTTGTTCCCCTCTCCTTGCACTCAGCTCTGCAACAAGTTTCCTTAAGAGCTGCCAGTGTCCGAGGGGAGAATCAAGGGACCCTTGGGCTGGGGCTGCGCTGCCGCCGCTATCAAGGATGGTCTGCAGCCGGGTGGAAAAATTAGATGACACCCTTGGAATGCGTGAAGGTCGCCAGATCCCATTACTGAAGGGATGTGTACAGATCCGTCCTGACATGTCCATTTGTTAGCAGAGACCACGCAGTTCAATGGGGAAGCCAGGTATAAACATGTAAATGGGAAAAGTATTTCCAAGCGGAACAGACAGGACCTCTGGAGCATCTTTCCGTGTATCTCTATTTCCTTCCTTTCCTTTTCTCATCCCCCCTTCTTGTTTCACAGGACTGGCTGACAAAATTTGGGTATCTGCCCCCTCCGGATCCCGTCACAGGACAACTGCAGACACAGGAGGAGCTCACCAAGGCCATCACTGCCATGCAGAGGTTCGGAGGGCTCGAGGCGACGGGGGTCCTAGGTCAGTGGCTCGTGATCCCCCCTCTCTCCAGTGCAGAGGGATGCAGGGATGGCTCCTTGCAGATCTGGGGAGGAGAGCTTGGCACTGAGTTGTGGAGCAGCAGCATCTCCAGGAAGAGCTCGCATGGGTGTAACATACAGCCCAGTTTGCAGCTGCAAGAGTAATTACATGGCTCAGGTGCTTTGTTGCCTTGTGCTTTCAAGAACCTGAGGCAAGCAATTATTTCACCAGACCCACGCACCCTTGGGGTTCCCGTAGTGCTTAAAATAGCTCTTGGTGTGCTCAAAAAAAAAAAAAAAAAAAAAAGAAGAAAAAAAGGTAAGGGGAAAAAAAAAAAAAGACAGAGAAACTAAGGCTGATAGATTGTCCTGTTCAAAGCCTTAATTGCAGCATCACGGGAAAAAAAAAAGACAGAGAAACTAAGGCTGATAGGTTGTCCTGTTCAAAGCCTTAATTGCAGCATCACGTTGAGCTGGACAAAAATCCTGATAAAGCCTCCCAGTTTGTGTACGTAGATATTCTGGATTTTTCACTACTGGGGCACAGTGCAGGGGGGGGAGGAAGATGGAGTCGCGTCTCCCCAGTGCTGGAGCCACGAGGAGCCTGCAGAGCTGGTGAGGGTCTCCTTGGCTCTTGCCGAGCTGCAGCGGCTCCGGGCACCCCCCCAGCCAGCTGAGAGCCCATCACCCACCCCAGCAGCTCCGGTGGCCAGCCTGACAGGGTGATGGGTGGCTTCTGTGGCCACATCTGGCTGGCAGGGAGCAGTCCGAGGCCAGGCTGAAGCGACACAAGTTCCCTGGCGTGGCCAGGGTTGTTCCTCTCCATGTCCTTATTGTGGGAGGGAGAAAGCCAGCGTTATCCCAGCCCTCGGAAGGGTGCCTGTCTGCTCTCCTCCCCTCCCTCCCTCCCTGATGGGTGGCCACGACCTCCTGCCGCGTGGCCACAATCTCCTGCCACATGGCCCGCATCCTTCCGCTGCTCAGGACAGAATTAACAAGAAGCTGCTAATTAGCGGGCTGGTCTCAGTCCACCCTGGCACCCCAGCCGCCCTTTGCCACCCCCCGGAGCAGCCGCCACCTGAGCAGCCTCTGGCCGCATCCAGCGATGGGGCTTTCCCTCTCCGCTCTTAATTGGGCACGTGCAATTATTTCTCTCCCACCTTATCACAGGCTGCAGGAGGCCCGGGAGCGAGGATGGCCTTTTGAATGCATTTGAATTTTCATTTTTGGAGGCAGTGTTTGAAACAGGCCTGGGGGGCTGCCCGGGGCAGGTCATGGATGGGGGTTTGTGCCTGAAAACAAAGTGTTTAAGTAAAGAGGTAAAGCCAGCATGGAAAATGGGTGAACGAACAACTTGTCTGCCTTTCAGCAAATGAGAATAGGGGCTGTAAGCTTCCATTTAGTTTTTAAAATAAATAAGAAGGAAGATGAACATTTTCCAAATGAGCTCCTAGCTGAACAGAGATACAGTTTATTTACATGCAAATGTCTCTCTGCTTTGCCAGGGGAGTAATGGGAAATTCAGCAAGAGAGAATAAACCAGAATAATTAAAAATTTATATTTTAAAATATAATCAAAGATGGCCACAGGTGGTTTTCCACACAAGTTTTTGAGATCTGTAAAGTGTCATGCAAGAGGTAACCTGCTGCATTTTCTCCTGAAATCAATAAAACTGTCCATCGGCACCCCGGCCGTGGGGTGTCATCTCCCTCACCTCCTGGCAGCCCCAGCTGGGGGCTGCTTTGAAGGAATTGCTGCTGATGGTGGGTGCAACTGTGGCACAGAGGGGGCTCAGCACCCACAGGTGTCACCGTGGATGACGCCGGGACCAGTGCCATGCTCCAGCGGGCTCTCGGGCATTGCCTTTTGCTCTGCTGCTGCATTCTCAGCACTTCCCATCTCCCTGTCCCCCCTGGGATTTCTTAGACCACCATTGCCGTGATTTCCATTATTTTTTTTTCTAACCCTAGATGAAGCCACGCTGGAGCTGATGAAGACCCCTCGCTGCTCTCTGCCCGACCTCGCCACCGCAGACACCAGGAGGAAGCGATTCGCGCAGGCTGTCACCAAGTGGAGCAAAAGGAACTTGTCTTGGAGGTAGGAATTCATCCTCCCATATTGAAACATTGCAGCAAAGGGCTGATCCCATGCAGACCTGGGCTAAATACAGCTTTGTGATGAGTTTCAGGGTGGTGTGCTAAAACATGTCCCTCTGTGCTCTTAGGACCCCACAGACTATTTAACCTCTTCTCCTGCTTATCCCAGCCTTGACTTTCTGGTCCCACTTGGCCATCGGGTGGGAACGGTGTGGATTTGGCTGGTGGATTAGCTGGGAGCTTTTTGCTGCAGTGCAGGGTTGGAGCATCATTTCTCTTGAGTTCACTGGGACTTTGCTCTCTCAAGCAGCCGCTTGAGAAGCAGCTGCTTCTCTTGCCCCACCTGAGCCCAAGGATTGGGAGCATTTTCTGGGTTATAGAGTCAGTATTTTCTCCTAGCCCTTGCCACAGGGTAGTGTTGTTTGGTTTTTTTGTTCCCCTCGACATCAGGGAGCAATGCGTGTGGGTCACCCTGAACCTGCGACACGCAGAAGTTCAGGTCCAGCTTCCAGAGCCCCCTGCAGTCATGCTGCAGCTGAGGGTTGGCAAGCAAGCCAATCCCTGTCCCACCAAGACTTGTGCTTTTTGGGCCTCACTTTTACTCCCTCGAAGATCGTGTGCTGCAGCAGTTGTTCCTCCAAAAACTGCTGAAGAAAGGTGAGCACCATGAGATGCTCATACTATCCTGAAAACACTTGTGGATGCCCCGGAGAGATCTCCTTCTTAATAATAAGTCTCTTTGATCCTGACATAGTCCCCAGGGCCAGTCCACCTCCCACTGAAGTAACAAATCTCGACTTGGCTGTCACTGTTGACACGTGTTGAAACTGTGGCCTTACCAGGGATTTGGTCCATGTTCCAACACAGCCCCCTGAGACCTTATTTTCAGAAAAGACAAACATAATTCAGCTTCAGTAAGAAACAGTCATGGCTGATGACAGCTTCTCGCAGTGAAGTGACCCATGTTATAAAAGCTCAGCCCGTCCCCCTGTTGACCAGGCCTGTCTTGATGGGCAAGAGGAGTAAACTTTGTATTCCAGAGAGGAAAAAATCCCTTTGGGTGAAACAACAAAACCTGCCCTCGAGCTGCCAGAGCCAGGGCAGGGGGGTGGCTTGTGCACAGCCCTGACCTCGGCACCTCCTCTGAGCAAAGCTGGCCTGGACAAACCCCAGCTACATCCCACGGTGGGACAGGCGCGGTGGCCGGGTGGCGTGGTCGGGAGCCCGGTGCTGTGGGTACCCCCAAGACGCTGGCTGTGCCGGCACGGTGTCCGCAGCCCCAGGCTGGAGCAGAACGGGGTCAGGCTGGTCTGGTGGATGCAGCCCCAGGGTATTCCCCCACCTTCCACCCTGTTGGAAACTGTGATGCTGCAGCAAAGATTGCTATAAAAAGGGGTTTAGGTCTGAGACGATTTTATACGTATGACATAAAAAAATCCATCCCCTGACAAACTCATTTCTGCTTTTTATTCTTTGATCCTTTAAAAGATCTTGGCTTTTGTTCAAGAAAGGGCTGTATTTTATAACTGGAGGTTGTATAAGCCAACAGAAGGCTGTAGCATTATAGAAACTCCAGCATAGTATTTACATCCAACACTTGAGATTAAAATAGCTTTTTTGAAACTGCCATGAAAATCTGCCAATGGAAACATAAAGTTTTACATGCTTACCTTTTACACGTTGATTGAAGATTTTTAAAAAAAAAAAGAGAACCAAACCAAATTCTAGTACGCCATGCATTTAACAATTGAAGAAAAACTGGAACAGTTGCAAGGCTGGAAGAAATGGGTAAGCAAAGCTGTACGAAAGGACGATCTTGGGACAGGCACTGATGGTGAAGGCAGTGTTTGGCAAACAAAATTTTATAGGCATGCAGGTTGCTCAGGTTTCTTCTTTTTACCCTTGAGTACAGCCAGCCTGTGGGGCTGGAGGGCTCAGGGAGCAAAACAGTACAGGCTGCATCCTGCACAGCCTGCGGTACGGCCTCCGAGCATCCCAGTACAGCCTCCAAGCGTCCCAGTACAGCATCATATGCACATGCTCTTATGTGCCTGATCTCCAGGGAAAGTTTTCAGGATATTACAACATACAAATCTTCTTTTCATGGGATTTTTTTTCTGCATCGTCCATAGGCACCAGGCCTCTCGGTAAGCTGATGAGGTGGCAGTGGGATAGGTTTGGGATGCGGCTGGAGTGGGGCGCGGGGAGCGGCGTGCTGCGGATGCCCTCTGCTGGCATCAGCGCCGGGAGCTGGCCCGCAGCGACTTCCCCCTCGCGTTTGCAGCCTGGATTTTCTTTTGCTAATTTTGCTTTAATGCTTCTGGTTGTGCCCTGCAGAAGGGGAGCTCACAGCCGGCATCTCCATCTCTTCCCAGGGACTCACCGTCTCCTTGCAGCCACGGGAAATGCAGTGTTAGGGCCATGCCCCTCTCTGCATGCTTTGAACCCCCTGGAGCAGGGGGAAGCCGCTGAAGCTCAGCTTTCTAAATTTCCTAGGTTTTTTTCTTGCTGAAATCTCAGCCTGGTGCCAAACTGCGCTGACTTTCATCCCTCTTTAGGTAAGGACAAGTCCCTGGTGCCACTTCATCAGAGCTGCAGTCTTTGAAACTGCTATGCCCAGGACATGGGGTGCTGGACCTGGAGCCAGTGCAGGCAGGAGGGGAGCAGTGACGTCCGTCAGTCACTGCCCACCATGGCTGTGAGCACCCTGAGCCCACCCGGGCAGGGGTACGCCACTGCCTGAGCTGAGACGTGGATTTACTGAGGCATGGAGGGGTGGCTGCCGGGCAGATAGCCCTGGGTAAGGGTCTGCAATTGGCGTAACCCCAAGTACCACGCTCCCATCCCCACGACAGAGCTGATCCTCCCACTTTCCTCCTCTAATCAGTGGCATCCACCATGAGGACCTCCCAGCCTGACCCCAGCTACCCAAAGTGCCCCCCTTTGCCTGAGTGTCACAGATGCCCCAGGGGGCAGGAGCATCCCCCTGCCACAGTGTGGAGCTGGTTTAGGGCTGTCATAACGTGCTCATTGCAGGCACATGGGATCCTTGTAGGAAAAGCCCCGAGCGGCTGGAGCAGAGCGCAGGCAGCTGCCATGTTGGCATCTGCCACCAGCACAGGGCACCATGGCTGGGGTGGTGGCAAAGCACGGTGGCCCCGCTCCAGCAGCCCCCTCTGGAGCAGCCGCTCCTCTCGCAGCCTAAGATCTGATTTCACCCATTTCTTCTCCCTGGGATGGATCATTCCCATGCCAGCGCCCATTGCTGGGCTGCAGGGAGCTGCCTGGCGTTATGTGTGTGTTAAAGGGCAGGAGAAGGGTTATCACCCAAAAATGCTTTCCTCTTGTGGCCTTGGGGCGTTGCAGCAGTGTTGGGGTAGCACCGCATCAGGGCTGCTGTGCCACGGCTCGTGCCACAGCTCGAGCTGAGGGTGCCTTTGCCACGGCAGCAAGCATCCACCCTTTCAATGGTCCGCTCTTTCCCCTCGCCAGAAAAATCAGTTTAGGTTTATGAGGCAATCCTTAGCCTGCTGTGCTTGGTAGTTACCAGCATTTATTTTATTTCTCTGTGGTTTCAGGGCTGGAAAAGGTGGCAAAGTGCTTTTATTTTTCTCATACAGCACTAATACTCTTCCACCTTTGTCTTTGGGAGGAGAGAAACCAAAAAGGAATGCAGAAATCAAAATAACCATTGGCGTGGGTGCCCCTCAATAGCAAACAGAGGCAGATCTCTGGCCTCTACTTATTAACCAGCTTGGACCCCAAATCTCTTTTGGATGGAATGAGCGAAGGAGGGGACTCAGGGGACATGTGAAGGACTGGCAGCAGCCGGGTGGATGTTAGCTTTCATTTGGACATTAGGAAAAATTTCTTCACAGAAAGGGTTGTCAGGCTCTGGAATGGGCTGGCCAGGGAGGCGGTCGAGTCCTCATCCCTGGAGGTATTTAAAAGAAGGGTAGATGAGGTGCTTAGGGACATGGTTTAGAGGTGGGATGGCAGGGTTAGGTTAACGGTTGGACTAGATGATCTTAAAGGTCTTTTCCAACCTAAACGATTCTATGATTTCTCTGCGTGCCGGTGCTGCCGCCTGGGTGAGCCCTAAAAGCAGAGTGGAGATGTTCTCCTCGGCATCCAGTTGTGCCACTCACAGCTGGGTACTGCTCGGCAGCCGTGGTTTCAAGCAGCGCGGCTGATGTTGCCTTGCTCAGCCCCATCTGTCACGGAGACAAATGCTCCTCGGGGTGTCCCCATGCATGGCTTTGTGGGGGGCTTGGGGCTGCGTTGGTGGGGTGGCCGGAGGGGGACTGAGCAGCCCAGTCCTCATCACCTTCCCAGTGGCTTGGCCAGGGCTGTCTGGAGGAGAGAGCCTTCTTTCCAATTACTTGCATCAAGTTTTTGCCTGCGATTGGAGCTCTCTAAGAGGAGTCTCAGGAGGAATTAACATCCAGGAAGGAGCGCTGTTCTCCTCTGGGTACCTAAGCACCATTTACTACAAATAATAATAATAATAATCAAGGTGGGAGGAAGCTTATTTAGTCCTGTGAGCACCTGCATGATGTTAGAAATGTGCCTCCTTTCCAGTGGAACTGGGTAACGCAAGGCTGACGAACATCCTATCGGCATAATAGGCTTCTCCTAATCTCATTGAAAACAATTAGTGGAGCTCCAGCAATCAAATCAGATGCTGAATTGAAAAACCCTGATGGGATTCTCTTGAAAAATAATGATGGTAATGAATAAAGGATGGGAGACACCTGCAGCATGCTAATAAAATGTGGGTCAGCTCAGAGGTGCAGGACCTTTTATAAGAAGCAAAATAAGTATTGATACTGTTTCTGCCTTAATCTAATGTTTCTGGAGGCAGGGGTTGGCATGAATGTTAAGAATGTTTTTGTCTCTTTAGACAGGGCTTTTCATCCACCATCCTTTTACAAGGGAGAGCAGATTTATTATCCTCATTCTACAGCTGGAAAGGGAGGAAAAGAAAAGGAAAGCAGCTCCTGCGGCTGAGCGGGGAAGAGCAGATGATGCCCCTGAATCTGAGTCTGTGCCCTAGGCACCAAGATCTTGAGAGATAGGTCGTAATCCCTGGACTAAACATGGTGTGTTTTACACTTACAATGACTTGTTCAGTAGACATTAAAGCAGCAAAGGGTTTACCTAAGTCCAGAGGAATGTTGTGGAAGATGAAGACACCTAGTTAAAGAATATCTGGAAACCAGGTGGCCTATTTTGTGTACTGTAGAGGTTTACATCCAGCCACAGTCTCTTCTATAAATTAAAAATTGCCTGAAAATTGTCTTTTCTAATCCCATGCTCATACTGTTTGTACCCCCATGCTGTCTTCTTTACAAGCGTGTTTTCTTTGAAGTCCTGCACTTATCTGATGCTACATGTATGCCAACTTATTTGGTTTAGTAGTTAAGGTCTTTCTTTGCCCAGAATAGCTCAGGGATAGCAAAGGCATAGACAGGAGTGATATTTGCTCATCTGGCTGTGATGTGTTTTGCCTGATTGACCGATCTCGTTCCCACCGTCTCCAGGATGGGGTTCCCAAGCTCTTCAGAGAAACTGTTAGTGAGATTTCTGCGTGTTCTCATGAGTCCCTTTTTGTTCTGTCCTGGATTTAAGCCTCACTAGTTTTGCCCAGGTCAGGAGGCGGTACCCACCTTGGGCTGCGTGTCTCTGAGGGTGTGGGATACATGCAAATATTTGGGAAAGCAAGAGCATCCAACCTCCGTCAGCGAGTCGTTCCTACTCCCTGTCACCGATCCATAGTGTCTCCCAGTACCCAGATCACTACTTGTAGAAAGGGCTTGAGTGATGTGACATCCCTCTCTGACACCTGTAATTACCTCTAGAGGTTTTGTCAAGTCGTTACTCCACACTGGTGCTGGGGAGCAGTGTAACACTGAGCGGTGCTCTCCCCGGCTGTATTATGCAGGAGGGCAAGTGAGGTGATCATAATTGTTGCTTCGGCCTTTAAAAATCTGTCAAGCCATGAATATTTCATGAAACACTTTGGTTGGTGTGTTGGCACACAAGAAATAAAGTATCCATTATTACCGGGGTAGAGCTGGCCAGAAATTTTCCAGCAGAATTGGTTTTTGTCAATAATTACTCAGTCAACAGTACATTTTCCTGGAGTGTGTTTATTTTTGTCAGAATTGTCAATGAAAGATTATCTAAACATACACTCTGAGAAGCCAAGGTGCCTTGTTGCATCTTTGTCTTTTCACCTCCTCTAATAAATCAACAATATTAGGCATTTCTTTTTCAAGGAAACGTTGAGTTTTTTTCATTCCAGCTCAGACCAGAAGGGAGGTTTGAATCACGCAGCTGCAGGGCAAATGCCAGCGCACGGCTCATCCCACCGGGCTTCTCTTCCAGGGCAAGGCAGGGCTGGGGACCGAGGGATGCCGTGCTGATAGAGAGGAACCATAACAGCCCGGTGATGTGCGAAGCAGTGTTCTAAGCCCGCACTCATCAATGCTTTTTCTACCAAGAAGCAAGGCAAGAGCTTCTCAGCTACGTACTCCATCTCCTGCAGGCGGTAGGCTGGAGGCATTTTGAATGTGATTTACATAAATTGCGTCTTTTCCTCCTCCTCCTCGTTATGGATTGCAGTCTCAGAGATTGCTGGCAGCGTGCTGGTTTCAGAGTGTATTTTATACCTCCAGCAGACATGCTGGGAAATATATGGAGGTAGCAAAGCCGCACTGGATTTCGGTGTGCATGTAATAAGAATGAGGAATGACCTGCTGTTTGTTGCAGGAAAACTTATGGGCCTGTGTGTGATGCAAAGGCTTCAGAAGTCAGTAATCTTGGCATACTTGGGCTGCACTTTGGGACAAATAAGTGGCGAGAAAATAACTGTTGATAGATATGAAAGGGAGCTTGAAAAAAGAAATGGGCAAGCTCTGGGAAGGGACTCGGGGCGTTGGCATTTCCAAGGCTGTGGGCAAAGGTGGTTGTCCTGGGCATTAGCAGCAGTTTGTGCATGAAGTGTGGCTCTGAGGCTGGCTGCCACCTGGTACAGCAGGATCAGGAGGTACCAGGACTCAAATCCTGCTTGTGTTCCACACCCGTGGGCTGTTTCACACTCTGGTGGGCAAGACTGGCTCAGTACATCCAGAGGACCCAAACTCAGCCTCTGAAATCCTCATAGCTCTGGAACTGATGTGATTCAGAAACTTAAATACGCATCTAAAAAGCATGCGGGTGCACTTTGGAGGTGCGCTGAGAGCTCCGGAGGCCTCATCGAGGTTCTGTGACACACCAGGCACCTGCGGAGCCCTTCCTGGTGGCCCTCAGAGAAGACCTTTTGTACTATTGTCCTATCTTCTTTTTTGCCCTCTTTATTTCAGAGTTCGCACCTTCCCAAAAGAGTCCCACCTGGGCCACGACACAGTCCGAGCCCTGATGTACTACGCCCTGAAGGTCTGGAGTGACATTACCCCCCTGAATTTCCACGAAGTGGCAGGTAACAACGCCGACATCCAGATAGACTTCTCCAAGGCAGATCACAATGATGGCTATCCCTTTGATGGACCTGGGGGGACAGTGGCACATGCTTTCTTCCCTGGAGACCATCACACGGCAGGAGACACTCATTTTGACGATGATGAGTATTGGACCTTCCGATCGTCAGGTATGTCAGGGTGGGAGAGCTGCAGCCAAATGCATGTGCTCCCAGCTTCCCTCTTCTGTGCTGGTGCCTATACTGGTTTAGTCTCTGCTACGCCTTCACCCCAGCCTGCCAGGTCCCAACACCTTCTTCTGGTTCCCCATTCAGCCTTGCTAGTGAAACAACAGCCACCAGCATCAAGGACCTTCTATGTTCCTGGAAGCCTCAATGATATCTCCTTGATTCTCCCCATCGTGTCAGCAGTGGCAGAGCTCCCTGTCACCCACCCCCAGTCCCCATGTCTTCTGGGATCTGGAAGGTCACGGGTTGGGTGTGTGGCTTTTGGGGCTCTCAGATGGGGCCTGTGTTCTCTGACTTAGCCATCTTTTGGATGGCTTCATTGCTATGTGCCCTGGTTTCATATTTTTAAAGCATATTTATTAGCTGACCTGGAAAGGGCTCTGTGGTCTGCAGGGAAAAAGCCCCCTGTGAACGCTAGATTTTTCCTGCCATCTCATGTCCATTACCTGACATCACGATGGTTACAGGTTTTTTTTTCTTTCATTTCATCTCATCTCATCTGTTTAGAGCAGAATTTTAATAAGCAGAGGGACTTTCAGAAGCGAGTGTTCCTGAGCTATGCAAGCCATCCATGGGGATCAGGTCCCCAACCCTCATGTCGGGTGCGGTTTGACAGAGTGTCTCCTCTGCAGTCAACAGCTGCTAATTTGTCACGCCATCTCCTCTGCCAGCCTCCCAGAGGGCTCCTGTTGCCTCAGCTTAATGATTTTGTTTAGACCTAATTGTCTTCTCTGAAACTAGCTATACCTTCTTTCTCCCCACCCTTTCCTTCCCTTCCCACCAGTTGACCTCCGTCCATCCCTGCTGAGTGTTCGTGGGCAGGAGCATTCACCAGACACACTGGAGGAGGTCTGGGGTTAAGGCTAAAGGTCTGGACAGGCTGATTCTTCAGAATTCAACCTGCTCCTTGGTTCATGATGCTGTGTAACCCCAACCGATGTCTTATGGGGAAGAAAAAAAAGCAGCAGCTCTGCTTTGCAGACTACAGGGCAGAGGCAAGTGCTGAGGTCTGGTAGCTGCCGTAGCAGATATGTTATGTGATGAAGTAAGGAGTCGTGCCCGTTTTATAGCGGGAGGTTGGGAACACTCGTGGTGAAACAGGCTTGCATGGAGGAGCGGGCTCAGGGCTGGCAGCCCCGCAGGGAGGATCCCTCCACGCATCGCCGAGGGACAAGGGGATGAGCCTGACGGCGAGGAAGCTGCCCTCTATTTTGAAGGTCTTGGAGCTATCCAAGCTTCATCTTTTATTTATTTTGTTCTTCCTAGTGATTCAAAAATAACAACTTGGTAGGTGATATAAAAATATCCCCAAGGTTGTCAGTTTGGCATTAAAATGTCAGAAAGCATATGTCTTGTTCTCTCCTAGTGCCGGGGAAAACAGCACAGGTTATAAAAATCCCGGCTGTTTACAGACACTGTAAATAACAGTCAAGGAAAAAGCAGAATTCAGCAAAAATATCCCCCCCAACACCCTGAGCCCTGTGGGGAGCGCAAAGGACTGTGCAGGATCAGCCACAGCTGCTTCTGTACAACATCTCCTTCGGCCCCGAGCATGGCACGGGGAACATGGGGTTCCCCTGAGCTCCGTGAGGACCTCAGCTTTCCAGCCTCACTGCCTTTTATTACAATGCTTGCAGCCGTCATCTTTGTAAGAACCGTACTTAAAATCCTTGCCACCCTCCGGTATTGCTCTGCAGGGCATTGCTGCGCAGCGAGGGGCGGCAACTGCTGGTCTGGAGCTGGGTGGTGAGAATGCACCAAGCAGGATCAGTCCCGTATGGCTCCTGAGGGAAGCTCTTCATTTGCTTTGGGAGCAGTGGTGGAGGTTTGGAAGCAGACGTTAACTCCTCTTGTGTCTTAGGCTCTGGAGAGGACCCTTCATTGGAAGGATGGGTCTGTGTGTGGGTGTGGTGCAAGGCACTAGGGGTTGGATTGCAAATAAGGTGATTTCGGGAAAGAGAACCGAGTAGAGAGAGTCCAACTGAGGAAAACATCATCAGAGGAGGTACCAATGTTCAGTAAAGCCTCCCTGATGCCTGGTGTGGTGTGTGAGGATGAAATTTTCTACAGGAGCAGACCCTGGAGCTGCAGCCCCACCAGCACAAGGTGTGGAGGGGGAGAAGACGGGCAGGTCCTCTGGAAACAAGCTGGATGTGGTCACTTGCCCCTTCTGCCATTCCCCATCAGGGCAGTGGTTAGATGGAGCAGGGTTGGTGGCCGATGAGCAGGTGAACAGTTCTGTATTTGTACATGTGCAGGAAGGTGTTTGTGGTGGATTTGGCCAGGGTGGCAGCTTGCAATGCCAGCATCGTGCAGGCAGGGAAAGCCCAGCCAAGCAGCGGAGCACCGTGGGCCAGGCAGGCACTGCCGGGCACTCGCCAGTTCCTTGGCACGTGGCTTTGCTCGTTATCGCAGGTATTGACACGCTTCTGGCTAGCGGCTGCAGAAATTTGGTATTCTGGGCACCACAAAGACTGTGTCTGCAGCTGCTGCAGGGCAGGCGTGAGATGATAGCGGAGACGACTGCTCCGGCCCGGCTCCTGCACCACCAGTTGGCAGGGATGACGGATGGTTGTGCGGGGCCGCTGCCTCAGCTGTTTGCCCAGCCCTTCCTCAGGTGCCATCAATGGTCTGGGAATAAGGGGGCAATCCCCAAGCCTGTGTGGGGCTGAGGATTCACACTGCAGGCTGATGGCTGGCTTTCTTCCCATTTTCATATGATACACTTCATATGAGACTTCAGTCTCCTTTTCCCAACTGGAGAAAAATTTTGTTTTCAAAATTCACCTATTCCAAAGCTTGGTTTTTTCCCAGTTTATCCAACATCTACCTTTACCTTCTCTCACAGACCTTACAGCCCACCCAAACCCCCAAAATACAATCAGCGTGTAGTGACTTTCATTTCAATTTTGTCTTTGTTTCCAGATGCTCATGGCATGGACCTATTTGCTGTAGCCATCCATGAGTTTGGCCATGCCATTGGCTTGACCCATATCGCTGCCATAGAGTCTATCATGAGACCCTACTACCAAGGTCCAGTGGGGGATCCTCTGAAGTATGACCTCCCTTACGAGGACAAAGTCCGAATCTGGCAACTCTACGGTAAGTTTGTGTCCCTCACCCAGCTACGGCCCATTTCTGCCTTGGCCCACGCTGGAATAGCTGTTTTCTGGGGTGAGTGGAGCTGGCAGGGAGGATGGTATACCCCTCTACTGCTTTCTTGTCTTTACACGTAGGAGTCAGGGAATCTGTGTCCCCCACAGCCAAACCTGAAGTAAGCAAAACTGATGACCATCCTATCCTGCCAGAGCTGCCGGAGAACCGCTCCACTGTCCCGTAAGTCAAGTTCATTTCTTTTCAGCTGTCACCAATGTTCCTGCAAGGGACGTGCAGTAGTGAAGCTCCACTTAAGCATCCGTATCTTGCCTGCTCACTCTGGCTTCAGTATTTCCCTCTGGACTTCTTGTCTTCTGCAAAACACACACACACCAAGTGCCCCTTCTTCATCGCCTCTCCTGATCATCTCCTGCATACGCTGTTGCTTTTTTCAAGCAGTTATATGTGGAGACTGGCCAGCCTGCCCACAAATGAAGTGGTTAAGAGGAGGAACAAGTGATAGTTGCTCTCTATCCCTTAGCTAATTTTTATCATTCAAGGCATGTCCAGAAATTCTATATCATCTTGGAGTGTTTGCATTTCCCTAAGACTCAAGATTTTACTCGTGTTAATGGAAAATTTTCCCAATCACCCTTAGGTTAACTCATCCTTGCTGAAAGTTTAATCAAACTTCCTCTGCAGTATCCTGAATTGTGCAAGCATAACTTACCTAAAGCTTTCCACAGCGAGCAACTCCCTCATGTACCTGTGGGGGCAAATACTGGAGCAAGCGGACTGATAGCCTGTCTCCAACACAGGTTTACATTGGCAAAGGACTGCTTATGCTGAGTGTCATCAAGCAAACCAGCCTGCCCTCATTAAGGGAAGTTCTGGATCTATCTCATTAATAAACGTTGGAATTACCAAACTGCGTTACTACCAGGGCAGCAGGACGTTAAGAAGGGGCACTGAACAAAAAGGCAGGAGTTCATGGTCACGCACATTTTTGCCAGATACCAGGAGCACCCCAAGTGGAGCAGGTCACCTTCATCTCCTGGTCTGCCCCCATCTGGAGCGTGACCTTGGGGAAGTCGCTTCACCTCTCTGTGCCTCAATGCCCCATCTGCAAAGAGGGGATAACAGGATTGAAGTACGAACAGTCGGATTATTCCTACAGTAACAAGACCAAGAAGAATTTAATTTTGAGAAAATATCCCTGTGCTACAGTTACTTTTCCCACCTCCATGCCTCCTCCACCCCACTTCACCATGCTTGGTGTGATGCCTGCGGCACAGAGGCGTGCGTACCGGCTCTTGGTGGAGGTGTCCCAGCTGCCAGGGGTTGCAGAAAGGCTATGAGGGTCCTAAGGGACCCTTTCCCGTGAACATGCCGAATGCCATTAGTTATCTTTCTTCCCATGTAGCTTCTAACAGTGGTGGTCCACAAGGCTCTGTATGGCCATGTTCTGACCTGGTAACATGAGAGCTTTTCCCCCTGGTGCTGTAGACCATTATCCCGCACCGGCGGCAGGAGGAGCAGGACACTTGTTCATGCCAACCCCTTCTTCCTGCCCCGTGTGTGACTGGGAGGGTGGACGGGGTTCACCTCCATGTCTGTTGTTTTGTGCCCCAAGAGGGCTGTGAAGCCAGTGCTAGCAGCCCAGCACAACTCTTCTATCAGTAAATTAGATTTATGCTTCCCTGTCACCCACAGCAGCTTTTCTGTGCGTGTTCCCAGCACCCTCTCCTTGTCCTCCATCAATCATCATTTTTCACATGGGATTCGTAGTGCTTTTGGTCCTTCATACTCCATGCCTTTCCCACCCACCATGTTAAAAGCAGCTCAGTATCTCAGCTGCGACTTGCCAGGTGGCTTTCACCACGTATCGCATGGCATCATCTCGCACGCGGCATCGTCTCTGTGTTTGGTCTCGTCTGCTTTCTGCTTTGCAGCTCCATCACCTTGCAGTGGCATTTCAGAGCTCAGCCTCGGAGCAGCAACGTCCCCAGCCACTGGAGCAAGATGCTGCTTGGCTTTTATCCACCACGTGTCCTGCTGCCTGGGGGCACCCAGCCAAGCTGCGCCGTGCCACCAGGGAGCGGGAAGCCAGCTCTGCGCTCACCAGTTACGCTAGCTGGTAGATGTAGAGCGCGTCCTTGCTTGACTCCCAGCGATGGTCTCCAGTGGCCCGGGGCGCATGTCTACCACAAAGCTGTCTCCAGGCTGAGGGTTGCCTGAGCTCGCCTTGGAAATCCCTGTGCACGTGGCTGGGTCCAAGCATGAGGAACGACAGATGGACGCAGCCTGTGTTCTTCTGCTGGGGGCAAGGGAGATACGGTCCATGGGATGGGGCACACCAAGGAGGACACAGCCCCTCGCTGCCCACCTGGGCCGTGCTCACCTGGGCATCTCTCCACAGGCTCAGGCGGGATGTGCCCAACAGATGCAACACTCACTTTGACGCGGTGGCCCAGATCCGGGGGGAGGCTTTCTTCTTCAAAGGTAAGCACCCGCTGCCGGTGGTTTCTGCGTGCGTCACCCTGCAGTGACGTTGGTGCGACGGACGGGCTGGGGTGGGTGGCGAGGATAAGCTGGCTCGGGGTTTGCAAACCCATGCAGGCATCTCTTGTGTCACTGACTCCTTTTGGCTCAAATCAAAGTGCTTAGATCTTTCATCAGCCTACTGAGGCTGAGGAAGGATGATAAGGAAATTTTAATGGAGAATCCTGCCTCTGGTGTGGAAGGAAACAGCCCGGGTCGTGCCCAGCCCGTCTTGGCGCAGCGGAGGAGGTCCCCATGCAGCCGATGGCAGGTTGGGGGTTCTGGTGTGTGGCTAGGAGGGAGAGACCGGTGGAGACAAACCCACATCACCGTGGTGCGTGGCCGGTGTGGTGCCCACGAGGGATGTGTGTCTCAGCGCCAGGGCAGGTCCGTGCCCACCTGGCTGCCCAGGAGCCGGGGTTTAACGCTTCCCTTGGAAGCAGCCAGGCTGGCGACGATCCAGCACGGTGCTTTGTACCACGCTTTGACCCGCTGCAGCGCACTGCCCAAGTGAAGAAATAATCTGATACTTGCACTATCGAAGTCAAAATCTGGGTCGAGTGAGGATGAGCAGAGCAACAACAGCTCTCCACTGCTTTTTTCCTGGATGCCTCCGACTTTCCTTTCCTCCCACGCTTCACCTTCCCTAACGCTGCTCGCTCAAAGACAACATGTATGCGACTGCAGAGCCATCTGGTTCTGTGTCAGCAAATACTTGCTGGCAGTGTGTCCCTGGGGTGCCCGGCTGTCGATGAGGATCCCATCATCTAGGCTGGATTCCATGGGCTTTCTTTTTCAACTTTCCAAGATGGAAAAATGCCCACTGAGCATTTCTTTCCATCCCTGGCCACCGTTTGGCCACCCCAAAGCCATCCAGCAGGGAAGCAGAAGCATCTCCCCCCCAGGGATCAGGAGCAGCCTCCGGGTGTGTATAACCCATCTGGGTATCACAGCACGAGTCTGGGGTTGCAGGCAAGAATGGCAAAAGGGCTCCGGAGAATTTGATGTCATCTGTGCCCTTGGGAGCACAATACGGAGGCTGTTCCCCTGTGGTATTCGTTCAGATGCCAGCTCCAAAAAGCCACAGCAAAGAGGGGAAAATAAGAGACAAGAACTGGTGTCCAGGATAAAGGGCTGTCTGTCTTTCGGAGCGGGGGGGAAAAAAAAAAAAAGATGAAAACTAAAGAGAAATCCATCATGGTGTCTATTTTTGGATATATTTATTGTGGGCCAAACCGCAAATGTGAAGAGCACAGTGTCAGCGGGTGCCAGCTGCACGGCTGCCTCTGGAGCCCAGCGCCTCCCTTGGAGCCCCCATTGCTGCCACCCAAGCGTCCTGGGCACCAAGGAGCAGGGATGTCACCTCTCGGGCAGGATTTTAATGACCTCCAGTGGTGAGCTCCCTCCATTGATGGACATTTTGTTCTGAGCTGGTCCAGCTGGCTCCTTAGCCGGAGAGCAGCCTCTCCCACCATGAAAACACCAGGATCGAAGCTCCCCAGGGCTCCCTGGCTTGTTTCATTGAAGGCAACGGTGGGTTCTTCACACTTTGGGAACACCGCTTGCTTTGATTTAGGTGCCTCACTACAGACTCCTGAAGTTTTAAAACAACTTTGGCCTGCGCGTGTGTTTGCATGGGGTGTGCAGCAGTCTTGCCAGAGGCAACCAAAGTATGGAGAGTGTGGTACGCAGCTGGGATCAAAATCACCTGGTATTAAAGAAAGCAATTGCCTCATCCCATCATCCATATAAAATGAGACACTCGGGACGGCAAGACTTTACACTTGGCTTTCATCCTGCTCAGTTTGCCAGCTCAGAGGGTGGTTTTAAATCAAGCTTTTCAAACAAACACAGGGTTGTTTGGGGTTTTTTTTTTATCATTTTATTATATTTCTGCATGCTAGTGGCAGTAATTCCCCCACGGATCTGGCTTTGGCTGATGATCGTCCAAGCGACCGCAGCACTTCGGTGGCCAAGCAGGCTTTGCCATAACAAAACTTGAGCACGGGCAGGCTGGGGCTGTCATGTTAAGAATTCCTTGCTACTTAATTGCTATGGCTTTTTGTTTTTTCCTGATAGCTTATAAAAACCCCAACTAAACTAACCAGCAACCCAGGCTATGCCTGACTTTGAGGGTAGATGTAAAGCTTGCTTGCTGCAGTTGCGCACCAGCTGAGCCCATCGCTGGCAAAGGGTTGAAACGTCAAAAGTACTGGGGCTTCCCTCCTTGTCTCCAATGAGCCCAGGGTCCTCGGAAGTTCAGATACTTGTCTGCTAAAGAAGGAATTATGTCGAGCTGTATTTCTTGTTAAAAAAGTGAAAATCTGGCTGTGTCTAGTGCCTTGCTAATTAGAGATGCAGAGATCATCTTTATTTAATTATGTGGTTTTCCATCGATGTACAATGGCCACCAAATTTGAATCCTGTTTTTTTCTAATGTTCTTAAAACGAATCTGTAATTATCGCAATTTCTGCCACATTTGAATGTATTATTCATTTGTGGGTTTCAGTCAGATAGAGCAAATATGCAAACTGGAGCAGAAGAAGAACAAGAACATGATATAAATCCTTATAATTAGAATAAACCCCCCCTCTCTGCAGATGTTTAAGTGTTAGAGTTTCACCTCCTGCATTATTAGGCTAAGATCCAATTTCCATAAAATTTTAAAAGATGGTGTCACAATCTGCCGGCTCTGGAGAAAGGGCTGAGCATCTTGAATACAAATGTGACGATGCATCTTTAGTTTCTGTTGCTTATCCCCCCTTGGGAGTCCATGCAAGAGAAGATGTAAATAGCATGCAATAATTTCTAACAGGCAATAACAAATATGAGACAAAAGTTGAGAGATGGCTCTTAGACATCTTGCTCCGGCTCAGATCTCACTGTGTGAAGCTCTCCAAGGGAAATGCAGCATGAAGCGCGCTGCAAAAACTCAGGCTGAGAATCCCTGACGCGGTGCAGGGGGTCGGGCTTTGAGTGGCCCCTAAAATCATTAAGGCTCCCTGGGAAATGCCACGTAAGGCTTCTTTGGCAGGAGAAAGCTTGGCATCCTTCCCACAGCGGACGAACCTGTTTCCTTTTCCATTACCCAAAGTACTCCAGGAATACCCCAAGCCAAACCCTTTTCTAGCTGGGGCAATGTTGCTGCAGGTGCTGGAAGTGTGTCTGCTTACACCATTTGGCCCCTAGAAGCACCACAGGACTGAGGTCCCCTGCTTATCCTCTGCCTCGAGATGGTATCAAACTCCTTAATTGTGCCTCCTTCCCCCCCTCAACCCCTTCCAGTTTTATTAATATAGTTTCCTCCTCCTCTGTTTTCTTACTCCCTTTCTTCATTAAAAAACCCCTCTGATATTTCCGCGCTTCATCGTAACATCACACACATTTCTAAATATGAAAGCAGCTCGGCACCCTGTGCGCAGAGGCTGGGGGTGCTCTGGGAGAGGAGAGGCAGGCACGTTTCTTCGGAGGCTCTCGCTAAAGGCTGCTGGTACCTGGTGCAGCTTCAGCCACCGCCCGGTCCAGCCGGCTCCCGGGAGGTCCCGTGCAGAGCAGCGAGGGAGGAGATGAAAGGCTCCGGCTCAGCAGTGCAGCTTCACACCGAGGCCAGGAGTATAACAACTCCAGTGCAATGTCCAGAGGATTATTTTGATCCCCCAAAAGGGGATTTCTTCTAATGGCAGCCAGGAATAGAAAGCGTAGCAGGTGCTGCTGGAAAGCAGGACGCCTGTAACTCACAGCTCCCATCTCACGCACTTTGCTTTCTGCTGCTGCCGTGCGCCCGGCGCTCATTGCCCTGGCGAAGGTGGGTTGCAGTGTGGTTCAGTAATGTCCAGTCTGTTCCTCCAGGCAAGTACTTCTGGAGACTGACTCGCAATAAGCACTTGGTCTCCCTCCAGCCGGCTCAGATCCACCGTTTCTGGCGGGGCTTGCCGCTCAACCTGGACAGCCTGGACGCCGTCTACGAGAGAACCAGCGACCACAAGATCGTCTTCTTCAAAGGTGAGAGTGAATGCAGTGCTGGAGGCAGCACGCGTGTCTCCCTCTGCCTAGATCCCGGTGCCGAGGTACCTTGGCAGAGTTTTGACCTCTCCTGCAGGCAGGAGACACCAGCGTCAGCCGCTGAGCATCTCCCAGGGCAGGTCCGAGATCTGTTGTCCGTGAGCAAGGCCAGGAGAAACCAGCTTGTAGGGAGGGCAGGCAAGCAGTAGCAGTCATGTTCCCCAGAAAATGAGGGAAATGTCATTGAAGAAAACCTTCAGCCAAACCAAACTGACATCTTCACTTTTCAAGAACAGAATAAAAGCAGGAACTACCCATGGACACACTTTACAGGTCTTGTGTTCCTTCTTCAGCCTTTTCTCTTGTTAGTATTTGTTGCTGAGAAGCGAAGAAGGTGCAGAGGGGACAAAAATGAAAACCCAAAGAGCTTGGGTTTGATAATTACATTCCTCTATATTTTTTTTTTTTAAATGGGTGTTATAACCTTTTTTAAAAAAACAAACAAACAAACAAAACCTCACAGGTTTCTTTCAGAAGAACTGGAGGAAAGAAGTTAGCTCGTGGTTCCTACACAAATGTCCAAGTCCCCTGCGAGCCGTCCCTCCATGCTGGTTAGGCATTTACCCATGTGCTGAATGTCACCCAAGCCCCCAGCAGGCACCAGCTCTTTCTGAATGGTCACGCACCTGAAGCGCTGAAGGCATCCCAACCCTCCATGCTCCCTGGCGTTTTGTCTCCCGACTGTTCTGCTCCGAGCACAGTGTAATTATCAGTTTCAGAAGTGCTGAACCCAGCACTGCTGAAAGCAATGACCTGGTTTCAGTTCCTCCAGCGAGGAACTTTCCGCTCTGCCTTCCTACTCATCCGGAGGGAACGGGGCTGACTGGAGCACAGCAGCCCTCGCGCTGGGCACCAGACCCTCCCAGTCCGCTCCGCAGACCGCAGCAGTGCTCGCTCCCTTCCTTCCCTTCTCTCCCTGCTGGGGATGGACAGACCTCCGGCAGCTCAGGTCCAGGGGCTCCTCCTGGCTAAATTTGGCTCCTAAGGCCAAAATGACAGCTCTGCCACAGCCTTGCCCCTGCAAGGCACAGCGCTCCATGGCCACGCGTGATGTGTGTGTTAGTCCTGCCTAGCTCCTAAGATTAAACTCAGGATTTTCTTTCCAGCTATAAAATACTGCTTCATTCTCTCCCTCCAGTGCTGTTTCATTGATCTCTGGACAGAAACCAAAGCACACAAATTACCCCGGCCTCTAAGGTCCTGCTGCTGATACGTGGCCATGTGTTTAAGTGCCTCTGCAGATTTTCTAGAAAATTGAGAGAGGAAAAAGCCTGATCTTTAAAATAGGTTGTGTGATGCCCAAAAGGACAGGGCAGGTTCACAAAGAGACACTGTATAAACAGAAAGGCTGCCCAGGTGGTTGGAGTATCACATAGGAATTGACAGATCTACATTGGTTTTCTTGTTCTGAGTCCTCATATGACTGTGGCCTGGTCATATTTTCCTATGAAAAAAACCCACCCTTATTGATATTTCTGTCCCAGGGTAGGGCCAGAGCAGGGTGGTGGTGGTGTCTCTGTAGAGAGCACTTGCAGAGCAGTGAGCTGCCCAGGTGGGATTTGTCCAGCCCCTGTGCATCCTCCTTACATCCCTTAAAATTCACAGGACCTTCAGCCCAGCCAGCTCTAAAAAGTGCGGCGATTTCTCTTCCGAAGTGGGACTACGCTTTGGTTCCCAGGAGTCAAATAGCAGGCAGAAAGTGCTCGACCTGCCCACAGCAGCTGTGTGTAACTTTCTGTTCCTTGCAGTTGGATAGCAGGAAGAAATCAAAGGGACAGAAACCCCAATGCCACCACCAAATACATAAGTGCCAACCGAACTAATGCTGTCGGCGTGCTCGTGTCCCAGGACCGTCACGCCTGCAGCAGCGCAGGAGGGAAGCTGGGTTATGCTCCATGGGGAGCCTGGCACAAAAAAGGCAACTATTCAAAGACCGAGGTTCCCCACTGGGCTGCCGCCTTCCCGTCCCCGTCCTTCAGTGCCAAGAGAGAGCTCAGCCCTGAGGACTGTCACAGCGACAGATAATGAAACATCGGCTTGTCTGCGGGGGAATTCTGGGTTCGGCCGTGAAACAAATGTGATTTTGCTCTGTGCTTCTTTCCTTTCTACAGGGGACAGGTACTGGGTCTTCAAAGACAATAACGTGGAGGAAGGATACCCACGGCCGATCTCGGACTTTGGTCTGCCGCCGGGAGGAATCGACGCCGCTTTCTCCTGGGCCCACAATGACAAGACTTATTTCTTTAAGGACAATCTCTACTGGCGCTACGATGACCACGAGCGGAGAATGGATCCCGGGTACCCTTCAGAGACCAACCCGTGGAAGGGAATACCGAGCCCTTTAGATGATGCCATGAGGTGGTCAGATGGTGAGTCCATATGCTGGTTCAAAAAAACACAAGAGAAAAAAAAAAAATCAGTGCTTCATTTGCACTTGAGCTATGGCCCCTTCTACTGTGCCTGCTGACATAAACTGCTCAGCCCCAGATGGGATGACGCTTTCTGGTGTCTGAAAGCTGAAGAGGGAGGTGGGCTTCCAGCCAGAGCTCCCCGCGCCACCCGCCAAAAGACATTGTCATTTCAAGCAGGCAACAAAAATATCCTGGGGACCTAATAATTTGATTTTATTAAAAGAACACAGTTGATGTTGCTTTGCAGCAATTTCTATCCTAATACGTGCTGGGTTTGCTCTTCACTGAATTTGTTGTCGTTGGATTTTTAGCTAGATGTATGAGGATGTGGACAGAAAGTATTTTTAAGGAGATGTTTTTCCCAGAGTTACAACTTGTTTCCCAGGGATGAGATTTCTCAGTGGTTTCTTCTCCCTGAAAAGACCACAAAAACTTTGTCACAGGAGGTATTTAAAACCAGCCATTCGCTCACAGCAAAGCAGCGCTTCCAGGTTTTATTTACCAGCAACCTAACGGTGCAGTAGCAACCAATAAACCAGGCAGCGGGGAGGGAGGTTTCCAGAGGCTTTTCAAACTGAATCCCTGAAGCTGTTGAGAGCGACCTGCCATCCATGTGGGCAGGAGCCCTCCGCAAGCATGGGACCTGCTTAGAGGATTCACAACCTCCCAGTTCAGAGTGGCAAAAATGCACCCAAGAGCAGAAGGTTCCCAGGGCCCTGCCAGGCTCAGATTATTTATCTGAGCCCAGGGATAGCAGCACACACCCCAGGTCATTAACAGGTTGGTGAGGTCTTCTTCAGCCTTGCCATGCCCGGTACCAAGTCTGGCCACTGACAGATGTGTACGGTGTGTCCAGCTGTGCATTTATTAGGGCTTTTTGCCTGCACACCCTTGGTACCGGAGGGATGTCTGCTCTAGGACACACCATAGAAGAGGTGACATCTCACCACCCACCTCCCATCTGCCTGGTGGCTCCTGCCTGGTGTGAGAGAGCCCGGCCGGGCATAGCGTCATCTCTTAGAGCATCCCACCAGCAGCCACTGAGCTCCTGCAGTGAGAGAGGGCGCTGGCAACAGGCAGTGGTATCGCATCTGCCTCTGCTCCCCGGGGCTGGGCTGGGGTGGGAGCACTCCTCTGCTGCTCCGAGGGCTCCTGTGCCCTTTCCACCGGGAGAGCGCCCGTCGCCGCTCATCTTGCCTTTGGGTTTTGGTCTCTTTGCAGGTGCAAGTTACTTCTTCAGGGGCAAGGAGTACTGGAAAGTGCTGGACAGTGACCTGGAGGCCCAGCCTGGTTACCCCCAGTCCATCGCTAGAGACTGGCTAGTGTGCAGCGACATGCAGTCCGACTCCCCGGAAGCCGGCGGGAGCAGCAGGACCGGGGCACGCTCCAAGCCGGGGCAGCACGATGAGAGCCGCTCAGAAAACGGCTACGAGGTCTGCTCCTGCACCTCGGCCTCCCCGGCCCTCCAGGCTTGCCCTGTGCTCAGACTGGCAGCCGGGCTCGTGCTGGCGAGCGCGTGGACAGCAGCGCTGATGTCTGCAGCCCTATGACACCTCATCCCACCGACGAGGCGACGCCGTGGTGCTCCGGGGAGGGGAAGCAGACGTGACCCCGCGATGCTGTTGCAAGCAGAAAAACATTCCTAGGAACATGCCGGTGAAGGGTTTGAATTCTCCATGAGAAATGAACAGTGATTTTTGTTTTGTTTTGTTTTTTTTTTTCTTTTTAATTTTAGTTTAAAGGTCTAATAACAGATTTTGAGTTCTGCACCCCCCATCCGGTTAAAGATGAGAGCAGCCTAACGTTGAATTTAGACATGTTCCGTAGAGGTGTATTGCTCTGGATGTTTCAACACGGCAGATGAGGGAGGGGAGAGCTACTGGGGTTGGATGGGAACAGAAGAGATGCTGCTGAGGCAGATGGCAACATCCCAGCGAAAAGGCAGCAAGGCTGTGGGCGAGAGGCGGTAGTTATGTGCTGACACAACGTACACATCCCATTGGATGTACTAGGTAGAAAGAAACTTTGGCTCCACTAAGATTAACTGCAAAGGTGATCATTTTACTGTCAGACCTGCTGTGGTCACTGATGTCTCGGTAACCTGTATCAGTTTCTACGGATCAGAAACACCTTTGCCTTCCCGAAGGCAGTGCAGCTTATCTTTGTATCCGAGTCATTTGAATTGAACAATTTCTCTAATAAACCTTGGCTGCCTACACAGAGATCTCCCAGTCCTCTGCCAGACCGAGCCTGCCACCTGCAGTAAGGTGCTGACTGCGGAGGCTTGGGAGCAGCCACATGAGATGCACCCACCACCCCAGCCTGATCCATCCGCACAAACTCCTGCTCTTGGAGTTCCCATTTCAGGTTGTTTTAACATTTCGGGAGGGATGAAGATGTATCGCGCTCATCCGTGACTCTGTCATACCTGACTGCGCTGCCGAGGGTGGGCCGGGGGGAGGAGGGATGCTGCGCACGCAGCCTCGAACTTCTCTTGATGCCTCTGCCAGGAGTTGGGGGCAACAGAAGCAAGGTCAAGCGCTGCATTAGGGTGTTCCTGGTTCGATTTTTTTTTCTCACTTCTAATCCATTTTCTGTGGCATAATTTGGGCAGCTGAGAGTCCTTGACAGTGGTGAGTGAGAACCTGTGCTAGGAACTGCCGTAGAGATGTCGGGAAGGCCAGGGTCCTCCAGTCTGATGTTCTCAAGGGGTGTTAAAGGACATGGGCAGCAGCTGCAAGGAATCATAGAATCATAGAATCATAGAATGTTTTGGGTTGGAAGGGACCCCTAGAGGTCATCTAGTCCAACCCCCCCGCAGGAGCAGGGACACCGCTAACTAGATCAGGCTGCTCAGAGCCCCATCCAACCTGGCCTTGAATGTTTCCAGGGATGGGGCCACCACTACCTCTCTGGGCAACCTGTTCCAGTGTTTCACCACCCTCATTGTAAAGAACTTCTTCCTTATATCTAGTCTAAACATACCCTGGTTTAGTTTAAAACCATCACCCCTTGTCTTGTCACTGCTGGCCCTACTAAAAAGATTTTCCCCATCTTTCCTATAGGCCCCCTTTAGGTACTGAAAGGCCGTAATCAGGTCTCCCCGCAGCCTTCTCTTCTCCAGGCTGAACAAGCCCAACTCCCTCAGCCTGTCCTCATAGGAGAGGTGCTCCAGCCCCCGGATCGTTTTTGTGGCCCTCACGGTTCCTCTCTGCCCTGCTTCGGTAAAGCTCCTACAGAAACGCCTCTCGCTGCCTCTGCCAGGGCCAGCTCCTGGGGAGACCCCACAGCAGGCAGGAACCCACAGGACCCCTGGGCCAGACAGGGTGTTTGCCGTGGGACCAGGTATAACAAAAAGCCCTCCGTGGTGAAGGAGGAGAAGCACACAGTTGCCCCCTAATAGAAAAAAGAGGTCACCTTGAGTTTCCCTCTCTGCTGTTTGCATTTTTAAATAGTCCCAATCATTCACAGGGTGCAGCTATTTTCAAGATGACGTGCTACAGTGTGACTTTTACAGGGCGTGATTCAATGGAAACCCTCCCATTAAATATCCTTTAAAAAAAAGTACAAACCAAAAAAACCTCACACCTAGCAGCTCCCTGTGCCGAGTGAAGCTGCCCCTGGTGTTCTCACCGCATCTGCCTTGCTCTGCTCAAAGCAGCTCCCCATCCCACCTCTGCCCACCAGGCCAGGCAAGGGCAGGGCACTGGGAGTTGCCATCATGGGAGATGGGATTTTTCCTTTGGTTCACATCGTTTTTCTTCCTTTTCCCTCTTGAACTGAGAAGACGTGGCTTTTAGTGCTTGCTGGGGTGACACTGCGTGGATGTCAGCATGTTATAGATTCCTCCTGGACACGAGGCCAGGTAGGAGCACAGCATCTCAGGGAAGATGCCCTCTCTCTTTTTTTTTTCTTCTGTTTTTGGGTTGTTTTTTTGTTCTTCCTCCACAAAAGAAATATCCAGGAGCTGCACCTGAAGGATCAGAGGAGGCAGGGACATGACTTGCACTGCTTCCGTGGCTTCTCCAGCCCAACCAAGGAGCCTGTTGTGGTGACAAGGACCAGTGGCCCTGCAGCCATGCTGGTCACGGTGGTGCTGAGACCCATGCTATCGGGATGTCAAGTTAAATTAAGTTTATTTAACGTGAGGGGACTGTGATTTATAAATAAAGCCTGTGGGAAGGCTTTCAATACGCCGTTCTCTACTTCAGATGATGCATTTTGATGATCAGAAATGGAGCAGGAATTGGGGCTCCACTGTTGCCGGACAGCCCTCGGGGAGGATGGAGAAACGCTGTTGGCTCTGCCCAGTGTGGAGCTTGCTTGACCGATCCCCCAGCCACTGGCAAAGCCACCCTGCCGTTGCCATCGGCTCTGGATGCAGCCACAGGAGGCTCGAGCTCCCCCGGGATGAAAACAGGAGCCGGAGCGTTTCCTGCCGGGGGCACCAGGGCTGGCTGGGCTGGGGCAGTGGGAGCACAAAGACACCATTACAGCGAGCGTGCTGGTGCTCAGGGTGTTGCATCGTTCTCCCATGGGAACACAGCAATTCCACGTGGGTGAAGCAGTGTGGATCCATCGGTGAAAGGTGAAAGGGTTTTGTGCTTTACAGAAACCCTGTGCCCAGCAGGGTGGGGGGCTCCGTGGCACCCGGGGGTGCTGTGAAGGCCCCAAGGCTCCCACAGGGTGCCTCTGCAGCCACTGCTCCGAGCACAGCATATTTGGAAACCCCCAGCCAGTTCCAGCGGCGTTTGCAGATCACTCGTAGGATAGAGGCAATAGGTGCAAATCACAGCACGAACCTGCTACTTTGGTAACTTACTCGCTGGGTTTTTGCTCTAAAGCCAGGCTCGCCGCCTGTTCTGGGTCAGGGGAGGATGGGCAGTGCCTCTGAGAGGGGCTGTGGGGGGTGCACAGCCAAGGAACGGCAAACGTGTGGGTGGGCTGGGGGCTGCACTGCTGCCGGGGCCGCAGACCCCTCTCCCGGCGCACAGAGGAGGTTGGAGGCAGCAAGGCTGGGTCTGGGCGAGCAAAAAGGCGTCCCCCGTGTGCGGCAGCAGGACAGCAGCCAGCCACAGCCCCCGAGAACTCTGCCTGCAGGGGCACAGTCGTGCTTCCTAGCAGCTTAAAAATAAGAATGTAAGGTATAAGTGCGGTCTCTGTACTCCAAAACATTGTTGATGCTCTGCTGCCGGGCTCCTTGGCACCATCCCTGTGCCTGGATTCCTCTGGTCCTGCCCAGAGTCCCTGGGCTGGCTCTCCTCCACAGCCACATCCTTCGTCTTAGCTGGGAAAGTCCTCTCCACCCCCTGAAAAAATAACCCAAGCATCATATTGCTATTGCATATTGCCCAGGCTGGATACTATCCGACTATTTAAATTCTCAGAGGATTTTGTGAGGTCATTTCAGAGTCAAAATACTTCTCCTATGTAATAGGAGGGATGGGAATTTAAGGGGGGCAAGGGGGGCACCAGCCATCTGAATCCACAAGTATATAAAGCTGAAACCCTGAGTTTACGGCAGCTGTGCTTGGGGCTGGCTCCAGGGCCCCAGTCAAGGTTTTTCCTGGCTCTCACTCCCACCCATCCCCAGGCTCTGCCAGCCCTCGAGACCTTTTCTGTTTTGCCACTGTAAAGAAAAGTAGAAGGAAAAAAAAAATATTAGGGTGGGCAGGAGCAGTTTTCAAATGAGAAAGCCATGGCAATGCCTGGACTTAAAAAAATTAATAACAAGTCATCTCAGACAAGCCCTGGGAATTAACAGCCTGAGAAACACAATAAAATTGTTGAGAAGAGATTCATCTTTACTCACTGACTCAAACCATAAGGCAGGCGTGTGTGCTACAAAAGGTTCCCACCTCCTATAGCCCCTTTAGAGCTGAGGGGAAGACTCCCAGCCCTGACACCAAAAAGCTTTTCTAAAATGGGACTTTCTGATATATTAAGAGTAGCATTTCTCTCCTCAACCCCCAGTTCCAGCAGAAGATGCCCTTGCACAGCTGTGGGCCAGGAGAGCAGGTGGTGGGGATCAGCCCCACAGCTCGGGTGGAGCTGCCCTGGATGGTGCTCTGCATCAGCAGGTGGGTACGTGCTCCTGGAGCCTCCTGCCTTGCTGCAGCTCCTCGAGATGGAGCTGTCGTCTGCTTCTCGGATGGCAGACGCATACCAGAGTTGCCTCCAGCCCTGCCACCTTGTTTTTTCCATCCCCTCTGCCAGGTAAGTGCGGTGTACGAGCTGGGGCTGAGCCTGCTGCTGCTGTGCGCAGCAGAAGCAAGCCCAGGGATGTTTTGTCCAGAGGAAGGGGTCTTGTCCTGGCTCTCTATGTCCCAGCAGTTCCTGGTAAGCTCAGTGCTGTGGATCACTTACTTGCTTTTCCCCGAAATTTCTAGACAGTGGGAGCTGGCTGGCCTTGCGGGGCTGGAACAGGCTGGGGAGGGATATAGGACAGCCAAAAACAGGGAGTACATCGTTGAGTAATAGTCTATCAGAAGACCAGCCTGGGCTAAGAATAGGAGAGGGTATTAAAGCTGCATGGTATGTGGAGGATTCT